TCTGAGAGCCTGAAAGAGCTGGTGGGCATTGCCCCACATTCTACTGCAGGTTGGCTCCAACAATACAAACTAGTGTTTAGTCTAGGCCCTCTGTTTGTTTTTTTTTTTTCTAAGGCTACCCCCTAGAAGGAAACTTCTCCACACATCTTGTACCCCAAGGTTTTTGGCTGTCACTCAAGGGGCAGGGCCCTCAAATCAACTTGCTCTGATAGCCAACGGGGCTTGGTATCCACAAGTACCACAGGACCATGTTACACAAAAATACAGTTTTAAAATGAGTACAAAGCACTTCTTAAAACTGTCCCTCATGCTGAGTACAGAGACAGCAGGCAGAAACACCTGGAAGGGATCTGACTACATATTTTTCAAGCTGTGGCCTGAGCTTCCAGCTTCTAATCAGCCTGCATGTGAGGGGCAGGCAGATAGCAGTCCTCCAGGACCCAAAAAGGAGTATGGATATTTCCCATGCTTTTGAATAGGATAAAAGTCTATGAGCATGATAGCAACTTAGGTTTTTTTGTTTCTTTCTATCACAGTCAGTGGAAAATATTGTAACTCACATTTGGCACTTGATTCCATGGTTTGCATCAATAATGGGTATAAATCGTGCTTCATTTTCATTGCTGTAACTATATTTCTCTCTTTCACTCAAGAAAGCATTATGTGAATCCAATGAGTAAGACTGACTTCATGTCAGGGAAAAATTATAAATACATTTTTATAAACTTTGCTATTTTAACTTATTTTACTAAGAGATTTGATATGGCATGAGTCATAATTGATTGAGATATATTAGTGGGTCATACCCCCACTATTTAGTTACCTCAATATCAGTACTGTGCATTAAAGCTGATACAGTAGATGATCGAATTTTTGAGCGTTAAGGTACCAGGGACTTTTTCCCTTTTTCCTTTCACTCAGCACAAGGATAGAGACTTAAAATCCAGAGAAATGTCTTTCCAGGATTAAGCAGTGAATGTGTCCAAGCTGAAGTTATTATAATAATTATTAATATCAATATTATTTTATAATACTAGTATTACTAAACATTAATATTTATTGTATATTGCTATATAGTATATGCACTGTTTTAAGGGTTCCATAAACAATTGTGTATTTTTTTAATCAGATAATTTAATCATTTCAATAACCTGAAAGGCTATATAATTTGCCCAAGGTAACTGGCTAGAAACTGGAAGAACCAGGATCCCATGCTGACAGGCTCACTCAAGAACTCATGGTTTTCACCACTAAGTGCTATTAAATAATGTGCATGAAACACGTGTTACATGTTGGGGGCCATTTTGAATACACAAAGTCATTTAAGGTAGACCATAAAATTTAAGTCATTGAGATTTTACAATAATTGTTAAACACTTTGTCATTTGATCCTTACAGCAGTCCCATAAAACAAATTCTATGATGAGTCTTAAGTTTACAGAGAAGGAAATCAAAAGATATAAATGGTAAATGACTTCGCCAGAGTATTAGAATTTGCCCAAGATTCAAAAGCTAGTAAGCCACAAATGTGGCATTGAATTTTGGTCTTGGACTCTAAAACAGAAGTGTTTTTTTAATATAGCTTTAGGAATCATTTTTATTCCTGTACAGTGGGATTGTGGAAGGGTGTGTGTGTGTGGAAGGGTATCTATGTTTCTGTCACATACAGTCAATCTTCTGGTATAACACAAAGATCTTTGGATCTTTGTCAATTAGAGCACGAAGTGTTCCTCAGAAAGCAGGGAGTTTAGTAGATGATTCCTAGGACCTATCCAGCTCAAACACTGATTTATTCTATGGTTTCTCACACTGAATCTGGGTAGGGTGTTGATTGTTTTTTCAAGCATACAGCATAATGATTTGGTATTTGTAGATATTGCCAAATGAGCTCCGCAATAAGTCTAGGTAACAACTAGGTAACTACTTGTTATGTACCTAGGTTATCTTATGTAATGTTATGATACCTAGGTACCATACATAGTTACATTTTTTTCTTGTGATAAGTTGTTTAGTTAGTTAGTTTGCTTATTTATTTATTTATTTATTTATTTATTTATTTATTGAGAGAGACAATGGTAGCTCAAGTGGAGGAGGGGCAGAGAGAGAGGAGACAGAGGATCCAAAGCCGGCTCTGTGCTGATAGCCGAGAGCCACATACAGGGTACTAACTCAGGAACTGTGAGATCATGACTTGAGCCAAGGTCAGACGCTTAACCAACTGAACTACCCTGGCGTCCCTTTTGTGATAAGTTTTAAGATCTATCTTTTAGCCACTTTTAAATATGCAATACAGTGTTATTAACTATACTCATCATGCTATATACGTTATATCCCCATCACATTTATTTTATAATGAGAAATTTGTAAAAAACAAAAAACACATATTCTTCTGCATTATTATCATGATATATAGCCAAGAGAGTTTTTATGGCACAGCGACACATTTTAGGTTACTAACAATGTAAAACAACAGTATGGTTGTTGTTATAAGGAATCATGAGACTAAGACTGTATGTGAGGTAAGCAATACATAGAGTATTTCAAACAAATATTCATGAACTGATAGACAATGTAGATTATTATCTGTATTTTAATGGTGTATTCACTGACGTAAGGCAGAGCACTAAGGTAAGGGGAAACTGCAAGCTTTGTTAGAGCCAGTGAACAAATACAGAAGATATTACTGTGCAACACTGGACTGCAGCTGCTTGCTTTGCTTTCCTTTAAAAGGTTTACGAGTTTCTTTCAAAGACGTAATGTTATTCCTAATCAAACGTGTCTTCAAATATCACTCTCACGGTATGGTTTATTCTAAATAAAGGTTTGTCTCTCAGTTTATCTCCTATAGTATTGTATGAAATATATTTTAAAAATAGATCGCAATTAATTTACAGTGGTCCAACATATGTAGATTTCTCACAGCATTTTTTATCAATTTTATCATTCACAATATACTATCATTACTATTATACTATTATTATTATATTATTAACTATCATCATATGAAAAGAATGATAACTTTTCCTAAAATAATGTGCAGAAAAAATTACTCCCAGTCTGTATCTCATTTACAGTGGTGTTTGTGTGTGTGTTGCATAAAGCATATATATACTTTTAAAAATTATATATCACATGTTATAAATAGATACATATTTTTTAAAAAGAACTAAAGTTAAGAATTAAGAGATGCACTTTATTTCTTCTAGAGAGTTGTGGTTCAACATTTCCTTCTCTCTTATGTTCCCTTCAAATAAGAAAAGTGTTTAAACTTTAAGGAAAAAGAAGTTTCTAGTTGCACAATGGCTTCGTTCTATTTAAAGACAGTTATTTTCACCCAGAGCTTTCATGCCACTTACACACTATCTCATCAGCTAGTCAATAAAGAATTATGTACAGAGCTATAATTCCTTTAAAAAAACTTTTGCATTTTTTTTCCTAAATTGAGCTATCACTCACACTTTTGTAATATAGACCTCGGTTTATCAAACTCATATCCATATGTCTGATATTTTTCCATACAGGTTCTTTTAACATTTCTTCTGTTTTGCATTGCATACTGGATTGACAGTATAAAACTCATGGACACTTGGATAAGTCATACCTGCAGTGACTTTTTAAATAATTTTTCTTAACATTTATTTATATTTGAGAGAAAGACAGTGTGTGAGCAGGGAGGGACACAGAGACAGAGACAGGTTCTGAAGAAGGTTCCAGGCTCTGAGCTGTCAGCACAGAGCCGGATGCGGGGCTTGAACTCATGAGCTGTGTGATCATGATCCGAGCCAAAGTTGGATGCTTAACCGACTGAGCCACCCAGGAGCCCCTGCAGTGATTTTTTAAAAACATTCTTCGTACGGAATGAAAAATAGCTTTCATTTCATATGTTTGCTTAAATGAGATAAGAAAAACTAATAATCTTATAAAATACTTCTTGTAGTGGCTGTACTGATTCTAATTTGCAGAAGTTCTGTGAAGTAAAATAGTTATTATTTATGAATTGCCCATCCCTTATGGAACTGAAAGATTGAACCAATCTACTCACTAGCATTTTTACTTATAATGGTTTTGAACAAATGTACGCTTTTTAAGCTCCATCTCAATAAGTTACAAAAAAACCCAAAACCAAACAAACAAACAAACAAAAAACAAACATCAAAAAAACCCAAAAGAGGATAAAGGAAAAAACAATGAAGATAAAAGAAGAAAGTAATGAAATAGAAAATAAAATGCAGTTGAGAACAATGACAATGCTAAAAGGTTAATCAAATTGATGAATGCTTATAAAATCTGATCAAAAACAGAAAGAACCGAAATGATCATCACTGAAGGTTCTAGACATAAAAATAACAAAAGTATTTACAATTTTTGGCAGTGACTTTGGCTATATAGACAAATTCCTGTAGAACTCAAAAAAGAATAGAATATCTGAATTGTTATATACCTTATAAAAATAGATCTATATTTAAAAAAAAGGAGAAAACCTTATGTACAGATGGTTTCCCACGTACTTGTTCTATATTTTTAAGAAAGAAATAACATCAATGTTGCAAAATTTTTCCAGATTTTAGCAAAGAAATAATTAATTTTATGTTGCCAACATGACCTTAATATCAAAAGTTGACAAGCACTTTGCAAAAGTCAGAACATATCTGATGAATATCTCTCATGCACATGGGTGCATAATCTTTAACAAAATATTGGTCAGTCAAATTCAATAATATGTAACAAGAATAACATATGATAAGAATAGCTTATCCCATAAGCAAAAGAGTAACTTATCATTTTAACTATGTTATACAATTTGCAACATTCATAGGACAATAAAGAAAAGTCATATGATCAATAAGAGAGAAAAACTTCACAAATAAGCCAACACCTATTATTGATGCGGGGGGAAACCTCACCATAGAAGGGGACTTCTTTTATCTGATAATCTGAATGGAAAAAAAACAAAAAAACATATGTAATATTTAAGTATTGATAGCTTTCTCTCTGAGACCAAAGATAGTCAATATCAACACTTCTATTGTATCATCCTGTCCAGGGGTCATGCTAATCTTCTCTGTATCTTTCCAATGTTAGCATATGTGCTGCCTAAGCCAGCACCACTTCTGTTGTATATCAGAGAGCCTAGAAAATGCAATACAGACAGAAAATGAGAAATAAAGATGAAAGACAAAGATGAAAAATACACACAAAACAATTTATCTTCATTTTCTAGGAGTATTTGTTTAGCATTTGAGGTCTTACATAGACATGTACCTGCACACTTCTCCAAAATCATTACTTAGGGGCAATTCCATAATGGTGATTTCATCATGAAATTCACAGGTATTAATGATTTTTAAAGCTCATTTCATTTTTAAACATATCCACAAATAAGAGAAGCATTTACTGAACTACTTTGAATAATTTTTTGTTAATGTTTTTGACAATTATAAACATTATCAGTGGTTGATTAGTAAATACTTCAATGACAGAGTTTTAACTTCATATGCATACTTTTGTTAACAGACATAAAAAATGCTTGAACATTCTCAGAATGTGTTTATGGACATTTTTTTTTTTTTACCTAAAACAGACTTATATATGCTTTAAGAGAAAATACTTATTTATCTTTTTTAAAAAGGTTTCTTTTGCAGAGGAGGTTTAGGGTAAGACAAATCCATGTTTATATTGCGGCCTTTTCAAATATCTTACTGAAAGTATTCTGGTATACTTTTATAATAGAAAGATACAAAGCACTTCAACATTGTTGTCTTCATGTGTATATATCAACAAAATTATTTAGGATGATTGAGAATGCTTCAACAGTAAAAATGATTTAACAAGATCCTTGAATCTACAGCCTAGAAAAACATAGATAATTCTAGTATTTCCAATCTCTAATTTTGTGATATTTGGTTTCACTAAGACTTGGAATTTTAAAAATCATGTCTGGGTGTACTCAAGTCAATGCTGAGTTAATATCTGTGAGAAAATTCAACACTGGAGAAATTTGGACTAAATAATTACTAAGACAACTTTCAATTCTAAGGTTCCTTTATTCTGGTACTGAGTGAACTATTCTGCAACATGTGTGGATTTCTTGACAGTAATAATAGCTCCCACTCAATTAACTGAATCCCTGCGAGGTTGGTTTGACGCAACTGAATGTCATATATCAATCGTGCTGGCCCAGGGATTTCTGCTGCCCAAATAATCAGATAGACTTGGTAATAAACTAATATATCTTTTGCATGTCAATTGGCTATTTCTATGGTCAGAAATACCTAAATATGCAATAAATTGAAAAATTTTATCTTGACATTTGGATATAGCCTACTACAGATGGGATATGACTTCAAATGATAGGAACTAGTGTCATAAAACACAATGTTTAAAATAAAGACTAGCATTTGTCAAGAATGGAAGCTGACCTTTGGAGAAAATTAAAGTTTATGTGCCTAGATCTCACCAGGCTGTCATTAACATAGATTATTTTACTCTGTGCCCAATAAAGAAAATACTTGACTATTTTACCTAGTTATATTATGTTAATAAAATGAATAGTACCCGAATTTGAATAGACCCCTCTTGTGTGTGTGGAGTTTTAATAATTACTAATTTATAGCAAAAGCAACAAGTAGTAAACACAGTTGTGCTCAACCAAGAATATGTTTGTCCTCCAGCAGATATCTGGCAATATCTGAAGCTATTTTTGTTTTTCAACAAAATGTGGGGAGCTACTCCACTGGAAACTAGTGGATGAAGAGCAGGATGCAGCTAAGCACAGGAGCAATCACACACAATAAGCATAATTCTGTCCAAAATGTCAGTGATTCCAAAGTTCAGAATCACTGAGCTAATTTTTTTTTTTTTTTTGGAGGGGGGGAGGTTATCATACTGTTTACTGCATGCTTCATTTACAATCTTTTTTAAAAAGATCTTTTAGGGGCACCTGGTGGCTCAGTCAATTAAGCATCAGATTCTTGATTTCCACTCAGGTCATGATCTCATGGTTGTGAGATCAAGACCCACATCAGGCTCTGCACTGGATGTGGAGTCTGCTTTATATTCTCTCTTTCCCTCTTACTGTTTCCCGCCCCTGCTCGTGTGCATACCTGCTCTCTCTCTCTCTCTCTCTCTCAAAAACAAAACAAAACAAAACAAAACAAAACAAACAAAAAAAACAAAAAACAAAAAACAAAAAAACCCACTTTCATTTTATATTGACAGAATGAGAAGTAAGCATGGGACAGGGTTGAACACAGCTAAAGTATAGCTAATTTTAAAATTTGGGGAACACTATTTTTGTAACACATATGAATAGATAACATACAGGGAACTGTTAGTAGAAATGAGCTTTACGCAGAAAGGAGAGAATGGCATGATATAATTTATGTAAGAAGACATTAGTTTCCACAAAAACAAATGGGTAAGCATTTGCTGTGAAGTAAAGGTTCAACTGATAATCTTCCTCTTCTTCCATTACTTGTATTTGTATATCAGCATGCTGGGATGCAAATCACAACTGCTCCTGGAGCATGTTAGTCTTCAAGTAGTATCTTTAGGTTTCAGACATTTGGTTTGTTTTTGGTTTTTTAGTTATCAGCATTTAGTTGCTTAAGTACTAGAATAATTAATTGGAAAGCAAGTCTCATTTCCTGAACTCAATATCCCACAGATTTTCTGGTTCAATGTCAAGGAAAAAAGAACTATTTTTCTATATCTGTGTTCTTTCCTTCCCATACAAATTAGAAATCAGATGCTTTTAAAACTAAGTATCATTTGAACAATATAAAATCCATACATTCTCCACATGACTTCTTTACCAGCAGAATATTCCGAAGCAAGTATAATATGATACAAATTCCCCATGGTTCTTCAATAATTTTTTTAAGTGCCATCAAATATCAAATAAAGTGATGGAAAACTGAAAAAGTTCAAACAAACTTTAACTTTCTAAAAGAAATTATAGTAGCTTTTGTTAAAAAACAAAATTGGTCTGCTCAGTCTGCCAAAATGAAATATCACAGGCTGGATAAAAAACCAGAAAATTTTTTTTCCCCCAGTTTTGGTGGTTGGAAGTTTAAGATCAAAGCACCAGCAATGCTGGTGTCTGATGAGATCTCATCTTGGATTACACATGGCCTTTTCTCTTTATATGCCTGGAAGAGAAGGAGCTCTTTGAAGTCTCTGCTTCTTCTTCCAAGGATCCTAATTTTATCAGATTAGGGTCCCATCATTATCATCTCATTTAACCTTAACTACCTACTTGAAGACCCTATATGTAGATACAGTCACATTGGCCATTGTAGTTTCAACATATGAATTTGGGAAGGACAAATTTCAGTCTGCAAAAGCTATATTTTTCTGTTTTCTCAGATTATGGTAATCCATAAAATAACAATAATATACATAAAAGTGCCATTTATCTGTTAAAAAGATGATAATCCTATTGGTTAGCAGATACTGTGTTGGTCTGTCAGGGTAGGGGACAAGACAGAAACATTCACTGACATCCTGCAACTAATAGCCTAATGGAGAATATTTTGGAACAAGGCTAGTGATACCATGAAATGTGTGTTTATTCCTATAGATTTGGAGATAATGGTGGGAAGAAGCAATGTGCTTACATTTTGGCCTATGTTTATATTTTTAAATACAAGGTAAGGTTATGAGAATGAAAAGAGGCAGGACTTCTGGTAGGTAAGGACCTGGAGGATAGTAGAGAGTACTGGAAAACTAAATACTTTCCTTAAGAGGGCAAAAATTAAAAATATATAGTAATACTGTGAATCATTGTTGAAAATCCAGTTAAATATTGTGACCATATTAAAATGATCATAAATTTACACTCTGCCTCTGTTTTATCATACAAAAGGACACAGAAAATAGACAAAACTAAATCAATAGCAATAGTGATGATGTTAGCTGAAAGTATTAAACACTTGCTGTGATAAACACCTTCACTGGATTATTTCATCCTTTTTATAGTAATTCTGTGAAGTATCTACTATTAGTTTTCTCATGTGACGTTTGAGTAAATTGAGGCTTACAAAGATTTAAATAAATCTGCAAATAATGATTAGTATAAGAAAAGTGCACGTAGTTTGACTTCTTCAAATACAAGATTCTTAGATCCTTCACTGTTTCTTCCAGGGTCAGAACTTTGGCAGGTGCATGTGATATGACATCAGGGATACAATAAAATTAAATCATCCACAGGAGCAATTGAAAAGATAAATCATGAAATGTTTGCTAAATGGGACTGGGACTAAACACTAAATAAAGACTTAGACAGGAGGATGTCAATGGTCTTCAGCGTAATAATGAAGAAGAAAAACCTGCATTTGGAGTACTTGAGTACAGAGGAAAAAAGGTGGCTGCATAGTTTGATGTTTAAATTATTTATTATGTTTGGTGACACTGTTTCTGAAGAAAAACATAACTGTGATGGCAGAAATGAGTTAATGAGAGCAAGGGAGGAGAAAGTCATTAAAAAATATGAATATGAAAATCCTAGCTGTCAAAACCCCAGAGGCCAGGGGATTCAAGGGGTTATCAATGAGTATCCAATATACCAAAAATGTCAGAATCTGATGTGTCAGCCATACCCAAGTCATCAATGAATTAAAGGATGGGGGTTGATTAATCTAATATTGATGATAACATGCTAAAAATACTTTTTTATATCCTAGGGGTATGAGAAGTAATATGGAAGCAGTAGTGAGTGTCGAAGATAACATCTTCACTCTTGCCCTGAATTATGAAGGGTTTGAATAAATAAATATTTTTCCTGGATGATTACAGAATAAACAATATTCTCTGGGAATGACCAGATCTCATTTGAAGCAATACTGTGAAGGAAGCATTCAGAGAATGGGTTGGCTGACTTTAGAATAGGCATTTCAAGAGATTAGTTGAAAGCAGGAGAAAGAAACTAGTCATGAAATGTAGATTGAAAGAAAGGAAGTTCAAACAGAGAGCAAGGGTCTAACAATTTAGCACATCATATATTATAGAATCAATTGGCATGCTAACTGGACAGCAACAAACAGCAGCAAATAGTAGCGTTAGGTATGGTGAAGTTAAACTTAATAGCCTCTCAAAAGGTGCTTTAC